CATAAATTGTTGGGTACGACGTGCGAGTTTGCGCGGGTGTTCGCCGGGACCGCGAGAGGCTGGGGTTTTTGTTCCGCCTAGCAGTCGGAGGGTATTGTCAAACATCTATTCGACAAACCTACAGCTCAAGTCCGACGTTAGAAGTAGAATTTAAAAATGCTTAATAATGGCACCACTTTGGCGCTATCAGTCTCCCTTGAAAACAGAGAAGAACAAAAATCAGACTCCCTTCTTTCGGCTGCAATATGTTTTGGATGTCCGCTTAGTTCAGAGAGCGCGAAATGGGAGTACGTTATAAGTCACAAAAACGTGAAATCAAAAGTAAAGTAAAAACAGACATTGAAAAACGAATTATAAATGCAGTAGGACTCAGTTAAGAAGCAAATGGTTCTTTTGAGCCGATGGCCAGAAGACGAGCTAATTCGAATCTCCAGCACATCGAATCAAACTCTATATTTAGCGGTAGTATACGATAGACAAAACATCGCGTGACAGTAAACTGCGCACTGGCAGCACATTATTTGGATTGTGAGTGCGCCAACTCGAAAGCTCCGCAGTTCTTGGAATCGTTGGGTCTATAATTTATTTCCCATCGTGTCAAGGGAAGATCGCATCCGAATCCTCCAAAGAACAGATTCAGTGATTACATCTCTCAGTTTGAGCCGGTGAAGTATATCTCAAATTCGCCCTCTCCAGCGATCCGCAAACGTCCGTCTTTCTGAGCAAGGCTCTCCACGTGAAGACTTTCCTCCAGGATCCACATCGCAAACTGTAAAGGGCCCAGTCACATCAAAAATAGTGATTTTCAAAAAAAGGAGGCGTTCACCGGGGGAGGTGTATTTGAGGTCTGACGTTTCGGGTAGTCGTTTCTTCTACCCATCTTCAGAGACTGAGCAGTCATGCACACAGCTTTCCTTTTATAACGCACTTTGTTTGATGCCTGGCCCACAAATGCCGCCCGTGTGGCTACATCCGATCCGCATGTCACCGTGACCTGAATCCAGCCCATCTTCGTCGATCGCGGCGATAATTGACAGCCCGATTGTCCCGCGCCGTGACTGTCCCCCGTTATGAATGTAAAACCAGATAAGGGGGAGGCAAATAGATGTGGCGGTTGACAGAACAGTCGGTAGACGTCCAGGCTTCCTGCACCTGTCTTGCGTATGATCATCACCTCGGTCTACAATTTCAACTGCGTCAAAGTTGACGAAGTGTCCCATTTGGGCGGCATGGGTTGCTATCTCCGACTTTGGGTCCAACCTTCGCACAGCCAACTTATGATCGTGCATGCGCGTTTACAGCCGTCGGCCGGTTTCTCAACGTAATTACACATTCCGCAGCTGCACTGAAGTCGGTAGACAACAGCCGAAATCTCCTGCTTAGGGATCGGGTATTTTGGCCGCATCACTTGCCGGCGGATTGTTGAGTCGGGCCTGTGGACAACGCCTATTCCGAGCAGGCGCGAGGGATGTGGCTATGGCTTCGGAGATCCCTTTCATGTATGGAATGCTCCGCCACGATTTTGACTGACTAGGTTCTTGGAGGAGCTCCATCTCGTCCACTTCGGCGACTGGAGTGCGGACATGAGTTTCCAGGGATCGAAATGTAGAACCTAGTCAGTCAAAATCGTGGCGGAGCATTCCATACATGAAAGGGATCTCCGAAGCCATAGCCACATCCCTCGCGCCTGCTCGGAATAGGCGTTGTCCACAGGCCCGACTCAACAATCCGCCGGCAAGTGATGCGGCCAAAATACCCGATCCCTAAGCAGGAGATTTCGGCTGTTGTCTACCGACTTCAGTGCAGCTGCGGAATGTGTAATTACGTTGAGAAACCGGCCGACGGCTGTAAACGCGCATGCACGATCATAAGTTGGCTGTGCGAAGGTTGGACCCAAAGTCGGAGATAGCAACCCATGCCGCCCAAATGGGACACTTCGTCAACTTTGACGCAGTTGAAATTGTAGACCGAGGTGATGATCATACGCAAGACAGGTGCAGGAAGCCTGGACGTCTACCGACTGTTCTGTCAACCGCCACATCTATTTGCCTCCCCCTTATCTGGTTTTACATTCATAACGGGGGACAGTCACGGCGCGGGACAATCGGGCTGTCAATTATCGCCGCGATCGACGAAGATGGGCTGGATTCAGGTCACGGTGACATGCGGATCGGATGTAGCCACACGGGCGGCATTTGTGGGCCAGGCATCAAACAAAGTGCGTTATAAAAGGAAAGCTGTGTGCATGACTGCTCAGTCTCTGAAGATGGGTAGAAGAAACGACTACCCGAAACGTCAGACCTCAAATACACCTCCCCCGGTGAACGCCTCCTTTTTTTGAAAATCACTATTTTTGATGTGACTGGGCCCTTTACAGTTTGCGATGTGGATCCTGGAGGAAAGTCTTCACGTGGAGAGCCTTGCTCAGAAAGACGGACGTTTGCGGATCGCTGGAGAGGGCGAATTTGAGATATACTTCACCGGCTCAAACTGAGAGATGTAATCACTGAATCTGTTCTTTGGAGGATTCGGATGCGATCTTCCCTTGACACGATGGGAAATAAATTATAGACCCAACGATTCCAAGAACTGCGGAGCTTTCGAGTTGGCGCACTCACAATCCAAATAATGTGCTGCCAGTGCGCAGTTTACTGTCACGCGACGTTTTGTCCACCCTATAGTGGGAATAGAGACTGAAAATACCCGAAGCAGTGTTATTCATCCTACTGTTCACTGTCGTTTTTTCATGAAGGACTGTTTTTTCCTCCTGAACCTTCCATCTATGCAAAATCTTATCCACTGTATTTACTTCTATGGAGTTTTTTCACTGTTAGACCGGTCCGTGCGTTATCTTTTTTCACATTGCCTATGGTCTTGCATTAAATACAGTTGTTATTATTATTATTGTTGGAATTATTATTATCGTAACTATACGCTGCTGCGTCAACAGGTTTGATATCTGTGACGTCTTTCCTAATTGGAGAACTTTGTATTTCCACAATCAGGTCAGACTTAATTTGTTTCGACCCAGTTGTTTGTGCTATATCATTAATCTATGCTATGGAGGTCGATTGCGACCCTAGGGTTTGCCCATACTTAGTACTGTGATCAATCGGCCTAGTAAGTTTTTATGGGTCTTTTGAGAGACTACCCCTTCTTGGAGACATTTCAACGGGCGGATTTTGCTTCAGTCAGGGAAAGTGTGTTCAAATAGAGCGGCGGGTGAAAATAAGGCTGTCGGAACTTCAGAGAAAAGTTGACTAACACCAGATGACGGGCCAACCTCGGGAGAAAACTGCAGATGAGTAGAATTCTTAAGTGGCTTTTTATTTGCAAACGATGGCGAGTTTTTTCCTGGCTTATTGGAAGATTACATCCTCTAAGGTATATTGCTGAACGCTTATGGTGAGAGAAAATAAATTCTTTTTCTATCGACGAAAATTTTTTGACCGAATTTGGTGGATTTCGCCCCTAGGTGACAATCCTTTAGTTTCTGTAGACCTGTAGTTAAACCCGCATTAATAAAGGAAACGGAGGGCGACGTCAAATATCTATCTACTATTAGAAACTTTTTTTAAAATAAAGTCAACTTTCGTTTCTGCCTGCCATTGACAGGGGACATAGTTAATACCCTAACAGGCAAAACACTCCCACATGCTGAAATTGCGCATTTAGGTAAGCCATTTTTTGTATGCACGGCACACCCGAAGCGCATGCCTGAGCCATATCATTTGCAAGATTAGAAGAAATAGGAGCGGCATTTCGAGAATGAGATTTTTGGTCTCCACCCAGCATGACGAAATTTATTCCGGTTGAAATTGTTCTGTTTGTTACTTTATGCCTGACTTATCGATCACTGAATAAATGGGATTGCACAAAGCCGATCTTACTTGCCTTTTTCTAGTTTTAGCCAACGAATCCTGTTTTACAATAGTTACTTCGTCGCGCACGTTTGCGCGCACTAAATTTTGTCGAGTAGAGCGAGCATAAGCCTAGTGTGAGTGCGGAATGACCGCAGTCTTGGTTGCCATTTTATAAAAATTAGCCGACGAATTCTACCTGGCGGCAACCATTTGAGGCGTTCTTTTGTGAGTAGTGCAACGGGAGGAGTTCTAAAGGGCCAAAGCGCTACCTAGGTAAATGTAACTGAAAGAAAATTAAGTGACACTTAAGTTATCAGCTAGGAAGGGATAACTGACAGGGAATATATTTCAGACCCTGTACTCGTGTGTAGGGACATTTAAATCCCGCCGAAATAGGTGACTAATGATTTCACGTCGTCCTGTAGGTGGACATCAACACAAAAGGATCCTTTTTGGAGTATACCTCTGAAGATAATACCGTAGCGACGTGTTTAATTCCTGTGTCTTTACACCTGACTGAGTCACCTGCTCGAACGGCGGCACGTTTATTGGATTTTACCAACACAAGACAACGATTTGACCATTAATTCAAAGAGTGAATTTAGCCTGATGACTCTTTTTCTGACAGCACAACGAGCCACGCTGAACCCCTACTCGCCACCTGCAAGTGAAATTGTCCTACGGTTGGGTTATACTATACGATCGGCTGCGTAAATGAGAAATGTAAACGATCTCTATGTGTGGAACCGGCGTAGCCCGACCTAAACCCTTGTGGTCGTCGACATTGCTGGCCTCTGATGCTAAACTGTCAATGGCCGGAAAGTTTTGAATATATTTGAGACAATTGTCAATGACCTCCAGCCTCCAGGGTTTGCAAACTCGTCCCTATTTTGGTGCAGTTTCGGAAACATTTTAAAGGATGTAGTCATAAGTAACGTCGACATTGACTGATGGTCATCTGCTTACGGCCAAAAAGTGCAGTGTTTTTCCGGATTCCAGTTTTAGTCTGTAGAAATTTCTGTGAGAAGCATACGATTATGCACAGATATACTATTCGGTGCTATTTCGTTAAACGACCTGGGGAGTTTTAGTACGTACCCTCCCTGCCGCGCACTATTTAAAATTCAAGGTGGTGCGATGGAGAGCGAGCCTGTGAGTGTCAAGCTTGTCTTGGTTGGTGATGGCGGTACAGGGAAGACAACATTCGTAAAGCGTCATTTAACTGGCGAATTTGAGAAGAAGTACGTAGGTAAGTCATCCAACTCCCTAATTTTGACTTGCGACAGCCACGCTTGGCGTCGAGGTTCACCCTCTAACTTTCCACACGAACCGTGGGCAGATCAAATTCAATGTGTGGGACACTGCTGGTCAGGAGAAATTCGGTGGATTGCGTGATGGCTACTACATTCAGGGACAGTGTGCAATCATCATGTTCGACGTTACCAGCCGTGTCACATACAAAAATGTGCCCAACTGGCACAGAGATCTTGTTCGTGTTTGTGAGAATATTCCAATCGTCCTTTGTGGAAACAAGGTTGACATTAAGGACCGAAAAGTGAAGGCGAAATCCATAACCTTCCATCGGAAGAAGAACTTACAAGTATCTACCACTTGTCATATTAACGTCCTTAGTACTACGATATCTCGGCCAAGTCCAATTACAACTTTGAAAAACCCTTCCTCTGGCTTGCTCGCAAGCTGATTGGCGATCCGAACCTGGAGTTTGTGGAGATGCCCGCCTTGAAACCCCCGGAACTCCAGATGGACGCAGCGCTTGCCGAGGCTTATGAAAAAGAGATATGGGTGCGTTGCCTCTTCCCAACTTACATCTTTCGATTTAGCTGGCTGCCCAAGCTCCACTACCAGATGAGGGTGACGAAGATCTGTGAACCGAATGTTTTGACACTCAATCAAGAAGGCTATGTTGATTTGTGCGTCAGCCACATTTTTATTGAAATACAGTGTATTTTATGCTTGACTTCATGCTGCATGCTCCGCTCCTCGCACGGCCTTGGCCTGTCTTTCGTAGCAGTTCGCCACTCAGACGCATTATTTCTTCAGTGCTTGGTGGTTGATCGAGTAGAGACCTTTTCCATGTACCCACATATTCCTGTCCGAGTCTTCCATTAGGGACTTACCACACGCCACTTGGCAAGCTGATTTATACTTGCACACCCTAAGGAAGGTGAGCTGCTTTCCTATGATGTAGCAGTCGTTTTGTTCCTTTCTGTCCATCTAAACTTTGTATTTGTTCTCGGGTAGCAGACTCAATCGGTACCCGTGGCAACATATCGGACTGTGCAGGCCCAAAGCGGTTGGTTCGTAACGATTCACAACTGCTTTAAGGACTGTTAGTGCCAAGAATAGCTTCTTACCACACTATTAATGGACCTTGTGCTCCAATTCTCGGCGATCTGTGCGTCACTTTTGCTACGGGACCCATGACAGCCCTCTAACTTTATTATTGTGCTGATGCTGTCTGTAGATCTCCCTCGATCAAACACGTAGTTTGTTTATTGATTTTTTTACGGACAAGAACGGAAGAGCCGATATGGTGTCCGCCGATCTATCTTGATCGCATGTAGGAAGAGACACTTCGGCCGGGCTTTGAAATTAAGGCCCTTCAGCCCGCTTACGTGCCCGCGTGTCATTTAAGGCCAAATAATTGGGTTCCTAGTAGCGAGGTTAAAGACCCTAAAGTGGCTGTTGCCGGTGTTTGTGGTTATCTACTAATCATGCTTTACCCTAGGCTAAGCGTCGAGATCGAATCCGGCATGACCGCCTGTGTTGGTTGTAGACCTTTAATTCTTGGCGAAAGCGGCAACACCCATTTCCACTACAACCAAAATAAACTGCCTCGTTTCATGAACATGCGACTCGTGATTTGCTTATGGTTTGCAGTGCGCGTACTGGGCCCTAGTCCCACTGTAAGATTTCCAGTTTTCGGAAAGTCGGAAACGACTCGAAAACCGTCTTCACTGAAAATGCTCATTACCGCTTATTATGGTCTAGCGACTTCGCATCCAGACTGTTTACTGGGTTCAAACGTCTACGGCCGTCTATCTGTGTCGCAAGGACGCTTTTGCTGTCATTTGCCTTAGCGCGTCTGTGGACGTATGTCCTGACAACATTTGTTTTTATTTCAGATTGAAATCATGGGACGCACCACTTGCAAGTGCAACTGCGTGCATCAACGTCTCGCCTTCCAGAGTTCTCTCAATAAAGATTTTCACTTGCATCACAAATCACTTGTAACTTGGAACGCTTTTCGACCCATCTTGAAGGTCCGCAAGGTTACGGTCATAGTGTAAATTGGTAGGTAGCAAATGGTTATCATCGTGCAGTCACATCACTTGTGTAAGTGCCAGTCGTGCCGGCCAATATCCAAATTTCTGCCGAACTTCGCTCTAACTTGGGTCAGAGAGGTTGCGCGCCCACACTTTTTAGCATAATTTTAGGCGAAATTATTTCACTATAGTGATACAATGGGATTCAAGTTAGGGTGGGAATGTAAACGTGTTCTAAGTGCTGGATAAGATACTACTTTGTTCCCATATTTATGCACCTTGGGCTGGGAAGGGATCATAAGAGGCATTCAAGGAGAGACTAGTTTCTTTAATCTTTATCTTGGACTAGCCGGACCCCGCCACGCGTTGCTGTGGCTCTGTCTGATGAATTGGGAAGTAAGGGGACGAGGAAGTAGCACGTTTCCAATTAAGAAAAATGTAATGGCCACCCGTTGGCGTTAGTACTGTGTGCGAAACCCAGGATTGTCCTTCTAGCCGCTGTTGAAGGCAGGGCAGTTGTTTGCTGCACCCAGTCGCGCTCGAGAATTCTGAAGTAAGTGGTGACGGCGGGCATTTATTTCGTCCACGGGTGGCGATCGAGGCAGTGGTGGCCTGAAGTCGCCTGCAAGCAGTAGCAGTGCATCAGAAATGGTCTGCTGTTTCATCGCAAATCCTGCAGTGTTCGGTCAGGAGCCTCGAGCGCTTTTTTGCGCCATTGTGCATTCATCCCACACAATTGGTTTGCATTTCTGCAGTATTTTTCCCATGCCGGATGCTTTGGAAATGTTACACGCGGGAGTTTCAATGAATTGTGCGTTCAAGGGCAAGTTCGAAGCTGGATGAACGGGTTTTCTGCCAGGTAGCAGAGTTGCAGCTATTCCGGGGATGCAAGTGCTAGGGCTATGTCATTTATTGGATCGAATTGCCGTCAGAATCGGTCGTAGTAGGAACGTTTTGCCAGTCCCTCCTGGCGCATCTAGGAAGAAGATTTCGCCAACCCCGTTACTGACATTCCGCAGTATTTGATCGTAAATGTCATTCTGCTCCAGTCTTAGCTTGTGAATGTTTGATTGCAAGCATGGCAGAAGTTGAACAGTGTTTCATTTTGCTCATGGCGCCAATCCACATCAAACGAAGCAGCAGCAGATTGGTTTTGCGGTGAGATTCCCAGTTGATTAAGAACTTTGTTCGCGATTTCAATCAAAATTAACGCCTCGCTGTAGATTCTTGCTGTGCAAGCCACATTTGAATTTTCCTTGCGTAGTTGACGGAAGGTATCTTCAGCCATGTGCAAATTCTATTCCTCCGGTAAATCTGCTGGAGATGAGGAGAGAATGCGGTCAAAATGACTGCAAACAATGCATGAATTTGATGTGGATGGGACGTGTTGCAGGCGTCATTAATACAAACGTCCCACTGTTGATCGTTCTCCAGTAATTGAAGAGCCTGACACGCACTGCTGAAGGTGGCATGCGTAGCGCCGTTGACAGACTTCAATTGCTGGAAAGACGTTGGACGTGGCACATTCAGCAATACCATGCGAAATAAGATTGGGATGCACGGTATGCAGTCTGCCTATCGCAGTTCCTTTGAGTATCGCGGGGTGTCCGTCCACTCGCTCTCCTCCTTTGCGTTGTTCGGATGATTTTCTGCGCACATTCCCTGTGTAATACGCAGGCACTTTCGAATGAGGCAGTGTTTTCGCAAACGCGTCACTTTGGCTTAACGTGGAGAACGCACTTAATGTTGTTGCCAGTGGGCCTAAGGCAACCTGTTGCGCGTTTGCATCGGTAAAGTAAACGCATTGCCCATTCTCTAACTGTACTGCAAGCGAACAACACCTGGACTTCGCTCATGGATGGGGAATAGAAGAATTCTCCACGTAGATTTCTTGCCGTTGACGCATCTTTCAGCCCAATACTGTGCGATTTCATTTTGTTGTATGTCCGCATCCATTTATCTCATTTCGTGTTGCAGACCAAAATCAGCCGTCGCTGCCTTTATTCACGTACTTACAAATGTACCTAATTCATTTCCCAAAATTGTAGTGTTCCACGTTTATGTGAGCTGCGTTTTACTTTTAAAAGCAAAGGCGAATACGAAACAACCCAGCGGTTACCGACTTCTAAGTCACCGATTCGCATTCGTACGGTTGCCAATTTGCCGATGTCTTCCGCTGATTATTTTCGGTATAAGGGACTTCCGTCTATCATGCCGGGGGGAGGGGGTTGGTTGGAAAATTGGGATTCAGTGCATCTAAGGTCCATGTATCATATTCTTCGCGACAACTTCATGCAAATCATTGTCGACGTCGATATCAGGTTATTCGGCGCATACTGCGTCGTCGATTTCGTTGGAAGCGATCTTGTTATAGAGCCAGATCAGGACATGTGCATGGGGCAGTCCCCTCTTTTGCCGTTCCACCTAATACATCCAGCAGCGCACAGACCCAACCACCTCGTGTTTCACCATGAAGTTCATCAGCGATTGCAGTTTCTTCCTGAAAACACGTGCTGTAATGTCATACTCATCCACCGACGATTACCCAGGAAGTAAGAGCTATTGAATATGCCCCCAAGCTGGATTGCATGTGAATGTAATGAGTAGGTCTGGACGCCCCGTACTGACTAACGTAAGCAATTGCACCTCGAGCGTACTCGAACATATGGTGTGGACTCTCTGTGTATGTGGACGACAAAAGCGTTAGTCTTACAACGTTATCTGTATTACCGTCGTTTACAACTGCATCATGCAAAGGAATGTATCCTTCAGAGCGCAGCTTGGTCTGATTTAAGCAAATGAAAGCAGGCGTTCAGTTTCGGTTTTTGCATACACATCCCCAATGCAGTGATGAAGCAATTTACGGCATTTCAAAAGGGGATTACTTGCATTCTGTCGTATAATAAGTCGGTAGGAGTAGTGGTTCACTGCGCTGCATTTCATGTGCGTTACCTCGTCACTGACTGGATTAATCATCTTAACGTTGAAGTGATATCCATCGGCACCATCCCCATAAGTAAATTGATGGTGCGTTGGAATCGGTCTCCGACTGCCGGCTTATATGGTGTCACCTTACCCTACAATCATTAGTCGTCCAACGGTTGTTGGCGTACCGTCGTTTACAGCAGCATCACGCAGCGTCAATGCTGAGCACGGAGTCGTGTTTGACGCTGGTCTGCTGTTCCTCGCTGGCGCCATTCGGCCACTCCCAGCTGGCTGTGTTCATCCTGTTGTGAACGAAGCAGGCACGAAGCTGCAGAACGCGGTAGCTGTGACCGCAACCGGGCTTCCGCAAGCCGAGCTGCACAGTACTGAGCTGACAATGGGTGACAGCTCCATTATGTGGGCTGTGCGGGGGGGAGGGGGCAGGCGCTGTTGTTAACTGAAACCAGTCCTCACCCCCGAGAATCCCCCAGACAGCGGTGACGGCCCTATTATATGGACTGTGGGACAATTTTTAGTGGCCTCCAAGTGTTGCGTGTTTTTTTGCTGCAGGGTGGGCGGTTTGCTCTGGCGACCCATATTACATCGGCCCAGAGAGGGTGGAGGGCCTGCCCGAGTGCCTGCAGGGTGGGTGGTGGGGTGAGCGCGACTGTCGAGCG